CATGTGCTCAGTCCTGGTACTCCTGGACCTTAGCGCTGCTTTTGACACCATTGATCACAACATCATGTTAGACAGACTGAGGCACTGGGTGGGGATCTCTGGTACTGCCCTAGAATGGTTTTCATCCTACCTGTCAAATAGGAAGTTTTGCGTGTCTGTAAACAACTATGTCTCCTCATTCTGTCCAGTTAAATATGGTATGCCTCAAGGGTTGGTCTTAGGACCCATTTTGTTTTCCTTGTATCTGCTTCCCCTTGGACATATTATCCATAAACATGGCATTTCTTTTCATATTTATGCTGTTGACACACAAATATACTTGCCCGTCAGATCCACAGACCCTGGAATGCTGAGTTCACTTAACAACTGCCTTTGTGAAGATAAAAAATGGATGTCAAATAATTTCCTCCAGCTGAACTCAGACAAAACAGAAATCCTGGTCATCGGGTCTCAGCAGATGGCAAATCAAATACTGCCATCTGCTGGTTCCCTAGTAAATCACATTAAGCCTGTGGCAAAGAACCTTGGTGTTTGGTTTGATAGTAATTAATATTTCGAGCAGCACACCACAAAGCTTGTTCAATCATGTTTTTATCAACTTAGAAATATAGCAAAAATTCGATCTATGTTAACTTTTAAGGACACCGAGACCATTTTACACGCCTTCATCTCATCACGCCTGGATTATTGCAACAGCCTTTTCACCTGTTTAACCCAAAAATCTGTTGATCGACTCCAGACTGCCCAGAACTCAGCTGCCAGGCTTTTAACCAGAACAAAGAAATATGACCAAATTACTCCTATTTTAGCTTCATTACACTGGCTCCCAGTAAGGCCTCTCGCCTTGTTATATTTCTGACCTTTTAGTCCCATACGCACCAGCACGTACCTTGAGATCCTCGGGCAGAGGTCTGTTGTCTGTTCCAGAGTCTCGACTGAAAACTAAAGGGGACAAGCGCGTTTGCTGTCAGGGCCCCGAGGCTCTGGAACAGCCTGCCCGAGGAAATCAGGTCGGCTGAGTCAGTGAACTCTTTTAAGTCCCTTCTTAAAACATACTTTTATAGGAGAGCCTTTCCCGATCTTATTTGACTTTATTTTATCCCTTTTATTTATTGTATTTTACTAATTTTATATTAATCTGTATTTTAGTCTTTTCAATGTTTTCATGCTCTTACCTTGTTTTTTTGTATTATTCTTTACACTTGTTAAAGCACTTTGTAACTTGTTTTTGAAAAGTGCTCTACAAATAAGGATTATTATTATTATTATTATTGCAAAGAATGGATATTGTAGGAAAAAACAAATGTGTCAGAGAATGTTTTGCAGATACAGTCATAATCAACATCTTGAAACTTGCCAGATTCGTTTAACAACGTCTCCTCAGTGTGTTGATAGAAAATGTAGCTGGGGCAGAATCACATTTCCTCCAAAACGTATTTGCTGCTGCATATACTAATACAAGTATATAAACTGAGACAGAAACCTATGCATCACATTTTTACATGAAGCAAAAATAAGCCATGAGAGAAATATTACTGACAGAAATCACTGAGCAGGCACAAATTAGGGCATCTACAGGGAAACTAGGAAATTAGAGATACAAGCAGGCACGAACCAACACCTTAGAGTAGTATCATCGGAGTCAGCACAGGCCGTAGACATGAAACTTTATGTAGTCTGATGCTCAGCAGTCTGTTTACTTTACAGAACCTCGCTGTGCCACAGAAAGATGCAGCCAACAAGGCATAAGCAGGGAGCGGAGAGGAGGAAGCTCTGCTACTCTGAGCTGGCAGTCGAGGCTGCGCAGCAAAGCTGGAAAGCCAGAACACTGCAAAGGCTGGGTGCCATGAATTAGTTGCTACAGTACATCAACTAACAGTTAACAGTAATAATGAGCACATCTTACTATTGTTACAGCTGATACTACACAACTTCTCACTAGCTGCAAGTTGTACGCTCTGTGAGATCCACTCAAAGAGTCCATTTGTAGTCACTACTTTGTAACTCGGCTTCTGAACAGATTTTCACAGTAGGCCTGCCAGGCCTAGATCACACCAACTCACAACCGTCCTCCCACCCACCAGTGTCTAAAGCAAGTCAGGAATCAGTTGTATCAAAATTACTTTTTAAAGAGGCTCCCTTGAAGCGGTGCCTCTGTAACGGCCCCAGACCAGTCTCTTTGCAGCATGACAACAACAAGAGAACAAAAGAGTAGAGTGAAAGATACAGAGAGAGAGAGAGGGGGGACCACTTATCCAGTTTCCATTATGTTGTTTTTATCCCATGCAGCTAAAAGTGAAATAGTGTGAAATCTTCAGTGTGTATAGGAAACTGATGAGGTCAGTTCTCACATTTGAATCTAGTAGGAGATGAAACTGATATGAGAGACTGCGGGAGGACAGTAGGAGGAACAAATGTGGAAAGCGGGAACAGAGATACAGTCATCAAAGTTAGAGATAGCAGACAAGCCTTGAGATTAAAGGCAAGATGAACTTACAGTGGGGACTGACCGAGGAAGAGGAAAAAGGCCATTGTCATACAGATACAGTGATAAAAGGAAGAGGAAAAGGAGAAAGGACCAGACAGTGAGAGACTGAGAGCTGGATTGTGAGAAAAAGGAACGAGAGAGGGAATCAGCAACAAGATCACAAGAGAGGAAGAGGAATAAGACTGGGCGTTTGAGTTTTGAAAAATAATGCGAAATGAGATGCTAATGTAACAACAAAGGAGTGAGTGCCCTCCGGAGGGAGCTATGTTACAGCAAGCTGATTCAGTATGAACACAGCAGAGGGGGGAACTGAATTCAAAAATGCCCTTTATTAAACTGCTGCAATGTACACAGATTCATTCAGGTGCATATACAGTGATGAAAGTCAAACTAGATTTACATCACCTCACCTCTGGCCGTGTTTAAATAAAATGAAAACACCCCTCGAGTGAGGGGCGATTAAGGTCACAAAATGGGAAGAAACAGTACTATCTGCACATAACACCTCCTCCCCAGCACTGTAGATGTTCATGTCACCCTCCAGTCAGCGACACAAGGTGAGCATGAGGCCAAGGTCTACTGAGGGGTGAACGCAAACAAAGAGGAGAAATAAAAAGAACAAAGAAGAAACAATGGAGGCCCATGAGAACTGGAGAGAGGAAAAATGAGGAGAAGGGAGGTCTTTGGCAGACGGGCTTTTGAGTGGGAGGAGGAGATGAAGCTTTACAAGTAAAGGGGAATAATGGAGAGCTCCATGGTGCAAAAGATGTAATTACTCAGGGGAATAAGTGCTGGAGAGGAGTGATGTGGAGGATCTGTATAAGAAAAGTGACTGGGCAGTGCTCAAGAGACCGTCAAAGAGAATACTGAAGGAGGGGAGGAGCACCACTGACAGATAGAAGCCTAGAGATATTATAGGCACACCATGAAAAAATTAGAAAGCTGGAAAATCATTATAACAAGTCCTTGAGAGGATACTGAGAATGAGCAAACACCAAAGCACAATGAAAGAAAATAAAAGTAAGCTTAAGAATGGCAGAGATATCTGTGCTATAAAAAGATGCAGCGGCAATAGAGGTGTATTAAAGAGTACTGTTGTACAGAAAGAGCATAGCATTCATGTGTTGGATGAGACAGGGGCAGACTAAAAAAAATCTACAGTGATCTCAAGAGGATGTTGTGAATGAGTGAAAAAAAGAATTAGAGAAGGAGAAAATCTTTCAGGAGATTCAGTCGAAGTGAAGAGGTGCTACTGCGGGTGCAGCAAAGAAAGATGCAATTTGAGATAAAGATAAAAAAATAAAAATAAAAATACAAACCCTGAATGAGACCAACTTTTTAACATCTGTGTTTACTTAAATTTGCCTTAGCCAGTGGGACAGAAAAAAGTCTGTATGTATCCTGAGCTCTCTCGTTTGCCTGTAGGTTATATCTACTATTGCAAAACCTGAACTTCTGACTTATCTCCCTTAACTCTCTATGGCACCGTTTGACTCAACAATTTTCACCAAACTCAAACTTGAATATTTTAACCCATATAATGAAGCAACATCACATTTTTAGGGTGGGTTCAAAAACAAAAGACTGTGTTTTAATGCTAAAAACCCCCAGCTTATTCAGCTCATTCAGCTATCGTTGCCGTAGCTCAGAGGACCTGTAGGCTGGGAGCGTGTTAGCGGTGGCACGGGCTAATTGGGTTTCCGTTCTTAACTAGGCCAATTAATTAGGAAATGCTGCTGAGGCCATGAGCGCTCCACCGGGTCATTTAGGGATTACGGGGATAGAAGACGAGTCGTGGGAAGAGTAGAGGAGTGGAGGAAAGGAATCAAGGAGCTTATGAGCAAAAAGGTCACTCGAGAGGGTCTTTGTTGCGAGAATACCTCCCGCTGAATGCTATCACTAAGTGATTCATGGACTGAGGGTAATTACCCATTTGTGACAATTTAATCAAATCAATCACTTCTTTTGGGAGTCACTGAATTGAAAAACAGAGCCTGCTAATTCATGCAATTTCCCATCTGACACTCATTGTTGCGAATCTGCCGTGAGAAACATGAGAAATGATGGGGGAAAAAGATGTGGGAGAAATGGAAGAGAAGAGGAAGAGAACATTCACAGGCAGAAGACTGTAAGATGTGCTTTCATGTGTCCATCAGTTAGCTCTGTGCGAGGTTTCTAAAACCTCCAACATCTGCAGAAACGACAGCTAAGGCTTCACTTCTACCCACTTTTATATACAACCATGCAGCATTTGCACACTACTTTGCCTAACTGTATTATTAGCACATGAAAGCTTGAGATTTTAGACTCCAGATTCAGGTTAAGTTTGCCCCAATATGACAAATATTGCCTTCAGCTGCAGGTTTATGAAAAGCAAGGAACAAATCGCTTTCAATGTGTTCAGGTCAGATCAGGCTCAAATCTTCAGATATGAGTCAAGTCTGGTGAGAACAACAAGGGACCATGTGCTGTTTATTGTCTCCTTCTGAACAAAATATGTCCAAACACTCACCTCCACAAAGAGGAAGCAGGGCACGATGTAGGTGCTGGTCTTCTGCTGGCCTCTTTCATCAGGAAGGTTCCTCATCGTCCTCCTCTGTGCTAACAGCTGACTGTCAATCATCTGTGGAGTCAAAGGTCATTGCAAGGCTTTAGTTCACTTTGTTCTGTTTGTTTCAGAAGGATATGCTAGGTGTAGTGCTACTTTGCAATAGGAAGATAAACAACTTTATGTTTTGCAAAAGCTAAAATTGAAAATGTTCATAAAAAAAACTATCACCACAAACAAGCACAAAAAACATGTAAAGTTCATAAAGATGTGGATCAAGGTTTAATCAGTTGTGGACCATTTTGACAATTTTTGATCATTTTTAACATTTGCAAATGAACGTTGCACCCTCATTCATATCTAGATAAAACAGTATACCACTTGTATTAAGACAACTTCAAACCCATGCCAAGTCAGCCTGTAATATAAGTTTGGCTGTGGATAATACTTGGCTTGACTTATCAGTGTGGAAAGAGACCTGACTGGCACCTCGATTTAGTCACTTTGTTAGTGTTTAACATTGTGACTACATAGAGTCACTAAACAGTAGTCTGACTTCCAGACAAACAAGAGTGTAAATGGTAGTCTATTTATATTCAGTGCCTGACTTCAAGTACATCTTAGGGTGATGATTTCCTAGCCTGTTGAGTCACAGCAAAGAGGCAAATAACAATTTGTTCAACAATTACTTTTCCCCCCCAAACGTTGAGTACGTCTCAAAATATGTTCCTAGCTAAAAAAAAAAAAAAAAAAAAAAACAACCTCGGTAAGGCCCTCCTAACACAAAAAGACGTTTTAAACTCCATGTGTATTACATTGGTGTTGCTCCTATCTCTCAGGTGATACAGGGAAACACAGCTGTTTGTAGGGATTACATTCATATTGGATGAGGCGACTGCGATTACTTCCAATGCCAACCTTCAAGGTGAGCAGCGTTTCCAATTTAACGCAAGACTAGAATTCCCATCTCAGACCAACAATTAATTTTAAAAGTACACTATGATGAAATGTAACTCCTCAAGTACTGGATTTAAGTAGTAAGTACCTACTAGTGTGCAGATTCGGATAATTAATACAAAATACAATTAAGTAATAATGAATTATGATGTATAGTATTATCAGAGATTACACTAGCCTGCAGTACATAACATTTAGCCCCACCTTTAGAGGCTGCAACATTACACAGAGATGCATCAGTTTCATCAGTCAATTATAATTCAGTGAAATAATACATTTGATTCTGAAATGGGAGATTCTGTATAATGAGTACTTTTATTGTTTGTACTTATACTTTAGGTATATTTGATACTAATACTTAAGTTAAATTTTGAATGCAGGATTTTACTTGTAAAATACTATATCTGAACACCTCTTCCACCACTGCAATTAAGATGTTTTTTCTAAGGTTGTGTGGTTCCACAAAGGGTGGAATCAAACCTTCACAGTAGACAATGGAAGCTCTATGTGTCTACTACTACTACTAAAGAGCTTCAGTCATAATGAGTACTCTTTACACCTGGGGACCACGATGTGCGGTCCATCCATTAATAAATCAGGGACCTTCCACACTGCTGGTAGCCCATGTGCTTCATGTTGTCAATTTTACCGATAATCATGCCTGAGCACAAAAAGGGAATCCTTTTATCATCAAAAACAACTATTTTTATGTGCACGCCTACACATACACACAAACTCACTCATCCATATGTAGAGATGCCCACGAATATACATTCTGCATGATAAAAAATGCGCGCGCACACACACACACACACACAGTACAGTTAGGCAATCAAAAGAGATGGTGGGGGGAAATGAGGTTGAAAGGAGGAGAAGTAGAGTGGAAACAGAGGAGCGATGATCAAAAACAAAAGCCTGACAGAAAGAGATAAGAGAGAGACAAAGTCATGATGCAGACATTTGGAGACTCTTCAGAAGTGAAGATGTTGGGGGTGAAAGCCAGCAGACTCAGCAATGGGAAATAATAGCGATTGGGGGGATAACACGTAGAAGTTGAAGAAAACAGCTTCAGTCCCCAAAATGGGGAAGAGATGGTGAAGAAAGTTAAAGTAGGAAGGCCAGTGTATGAGATTCTCAGGGTATTCTGACATGCAAATGACTGCACTCATGCTAAATAATGTCAACTTCTGCTCTTTTAAGTTTGGGACGCCTCAAAAGGCATTTAAATATATCCTCCTTGAATCTTAAACAGCAAACGCAATTTGGAACTTGGAACTTTGAATTCATGATTTTATCAATGATAAAGCAAATGCTCTCACCACAGTCTTGAATATATATTTTTTCATTCAAACACCAATTGGTTCTCGTCTCAGATATCAAGCCGGTTCGCTCATCTCCTTGACAACAATTATTTCGCTGACTTTATGGCTGAGGGCGAATCTCTGCTGCCGTGTCAGCCCTCTCCCAAATCAATGGTCATTTTTAGTGAGAGGGGAGGAAGCCACAAGGTTGGAATGCATCCATGTCTTCATAGTGTACTAGACACCTATCAATGACATAGCAAATTTGAAACAAGAACCAACATTTTAATCCTGAAATCAATCTAATCCTTTCTTTTTCAAAGTAAAACATAAAATAGTAAGGAAAGCTCAATGATGAATTCCTGTTTACAAAGACAAAATCATCTTGTCATTCACAATGAAAATACAGAGTGTATGTTTGCATGTCAGGAGAACAAGAAAAGATTCCTTTTGAATATTGCTCAAATGTGTTTTAAAGAGCACTACAGTATAATGCATTATTAACTAAAGCATTAAAAGTTGTAATACTCCCTAAAACCTTAATTCACTCATCTGGACCAGTTTAATTTAACAGAATATTGTTATCGAAGATTACCAGACTTCTGAACAACCCGGCAACAAGCTGAGCTTTAAAGAGAGAGTAAAGAAACCTACATATTAGGAATGCACCGGTCTGTATAACACAGTTACTGAATAATGCTCCCTTCAATTTAAACATGAAGGATTAGAAAAAAATATTTCTGCTAAATCACCTCAGGTTGCTTTCCACAAACTTGAACTTCAATTATCTGGCAATGAGGTCCCTCTTGGCAGTTTCTGTTCCACCTCATAGATTTATCATCATGGCCTTTTATTAATAGCTTCACATAAGACTTGTTTATTGCCGCAAATGTTTGAAACCTCAAAACATTGCCTTCAAAAAAAACTCTCTACAATGTCTATTTGTACAAGCCACACATATAGTTTTGTATTTCTGTCTATTGTTCAATGTTTGGCTGATTGACAGGTACACACACGCACAGCAGAACAGTCTCCACTCACTGTGTTTAAGTGTGTTAATTATTCATGCTGTGGTTCATATACTCATTTCACTCCTCTTTCTCCACTATCGTCTGTCTGCCTCATGGGAAACACTATCCCACAATTATCCCACTATTCCAATATAAGTACAAGTAATTCTACTGCAGTCAAGCCTCGGGACGAAGTGCTTTGATTGGTGAAACAGCATTCAGTGATGCTAAGTAAAGACAGAAAAGGTTACACAAGTTATTGCAGAAGACAAAAAGGATTGTAAATATACATACATGGACACAAACACAAGAGATTTGGGTCTTCCTTTATGTACCCATCTCCCTAGGTAGTGAGAAGCAATCAGGCATAAGGTTGGCATGACTGATTGTCTCTTGTGTTGCTGTCCATGTCGTTCACTATGACGTGCATCCTTAAGCTTTGCACTGGCACCACGTAAAAACAAAAGACCCACTCACTATCTCGCTGGCACACACGCATAAGCACACATACAAGTGACCATCATCCCAGCGTTCATTTCATGTCAACTTGGATGTCAGTCCAACAAGTGGTGCTGCACAGTTGATGCCTGTGTGTGTGCGCGTTTGCGTATGCGAGCGAGAGAGAGAGATCAAGAGAGAGACAGAGAGAGAGCGCATCCTGCACAGAATTCCTGCTGTGCTGCACCTGAGGTTCAACAATGTGGGTCATAGAGATGCACAATCTCACTTACACACACACACACACACACACACACACACCACTTTCAGGAACAACCCATTTCCCACAAGAAGCAGAAGAAAAAGCAGGGCAGTTTGAAAAACTCTCACCTTAAATCTCTGTATGTTGGAATCAGTGCTGCTGCACAGTGACCGCTGCCTCCTCAGAATCCGCGTCTCTAGGAGGATTTGCTCCTGCAGCGGACTCCCATTCTGTGGTTGCGTTGTGGTTTCAGCTTCGCTTCTTTCTCTTTTCCCCCTTCTCGTCTCTTTCAAAGCAAAACCACCCTTCACTTCCACCGCTCCACCAGTGAGAAGCCCTCGGCACTGGGGGGGGAGAAAGAGAGAGAGAGAGAGAGAGAGAGAGAGCTTGCCACACTGCCAGGCACCCAGCCTCCAGCCAGCCTAGTCTATATCTGTCTGCACTCTACCGCTAGGTCGCTAAGCTAAATATGATGATCTTCAACAGCACTTCAAGGCTAATTAGTCAAATGTAGGGATCCACAGGCTGGTGAGGGAGGCTCCTCAGCGAAGTTGCCGGTGGATATGGTGAATATAAGGAGAGGAAGGGAGAGAGAGGATGTGTATGTGCATCTGTATGCATGTGTGTAAGAGAGAGAAAGAGAAGGAGAGGGAAGGAGGAGGAGGAGGAAAAAACAGAGTGGGAAGAGGGAATAGGAGAATGAGACAGCTGGAGTGGAGACTGAGAGCAGAATGTGTGTGTGAGAGAGATGCAGAGAGAGATCGGGAGAGAGAGAATGAGGAACTCTATGTATGTCAGAGGCTGAGGCAACACAGTGGCTAAAATGGTAGACACTGCACTTTAGTACCCCAGGACACCACTTTGATACTGGCAGACACCATGGGCTTTGTGAGACTGTGACAGCACAGGTGTGTGTGCGCACGGGAGTGTGTGTGTGTGTGTGTGTGTGTTTTATGGGATCATGGCAACTCAAAGCAGGAGATAAAAAGTAACCAGACAGTATAGTGTTGGTGTTTTGTGTTTGTGAGCAGCGTGTCATGTATACTCAACATGACTGACAATAATGACAATGTGAGCTCAGGTGAACAGGGACCACAATCGAGCTCAGCCCCTAGGAGAGCAGAGAGTGAGTTAATGATACATGGTCAAGTGGAAAAGTGGGACGCATCCTGCAAACGGCCCTATGTGGGTCAGAGGCCCCCAGTTGCGAGCTCACCAGCAGCTTTTGGCTGTTTTTCTGTGTGTGCATTGGTGTATACCTACTTACATAATGGAATGGGTTTGCCTTTAACACATTCTCTGCCTCCCTCAGGGCTAACACAAAGACGGTGTGTGTTTCTGTGTACATGTATGTGTTGACGTGTGTTGGTACATGTTTTGACATGCGACAATGGCACCAGTGGAATGCTGGACACAAAGAACTGTCCCTCAGGCATTGCCACACAGGTCTGAATGTCCACGTTGTCCACAAAATGCTTGTAAGCATCTGACTTACTGTACATATTTTAGGCATTCAAGGTTAGAATACAGAAGGTTTTTTTGCCTTCAATATTGCTGTGTGTGTGAAATTTATTCAGATTTAAAGAAACAGCTTGATGGGTAATGTGCTTATTCACTTTCTTGTCGAGAGTTAGATCAGAAGATCAATATCACTATCATGTTATTAAATATGAAGCTACCGCCAGAAGCCAGTTAGCTTCGCTTAGAACAAAGACTGGAAAGGGGGGGGGGGGGGGGGGGGGGGGGACAGCTAGCCTGATTCTGTGAATAGTTAACAAAGTCTGCCTACCAGCAACTCTAGCATGTTATATTGTTTGTTAAATTCACACTATATTTCTTGACCAGTTGCAGTATTTCCTAGTCTCAGCTGGACAACACAGACAGCAGGCTAGCCATTTCCCCCTGTTTCCAGCCTTATTGCTAAGCTAAGCTGCTGCAGGAGATAGCGTCATATTTACACTACAGACATGAAAGTGGTATGGATAACAAATTATCCAGGATCATGACATCTTCATCCCTTTGAAATCTAGTTTGAGTGGGACAATTATGGTACAGCGTACAGTCAGAGTATGCCATTACCAGAAATAAAATCTCAGGAGAATAGGTGGACAAGCAAAAGGTACAGCACCCCCTTTGCCAATACAAATTTCCAAATACATCTTTTACAAAGAAGCCAAAACATGTCAGGAAACTGCAAAGCTGACCCTCTTGTTGCCGGAAAGGGACCACGGACCACTCACAGTAAAGTGTATTTTTTTCCTGAGAATGATGGATAAAATCACATGGTATCACAAATGTCATAGTTCCCATGGCAACTTGCTGCATTCATAGAGTAGAATGACAAACAAGGAAATGCGCATATGCTGAAATACACCCACACCTGCACATTTAATAGTGCGCATACAATGTAGATGAAACAAGTGCCACTTAAAAATGGCCTTGCTCACAAACCATTGAATTCAAATACCTGAGTGACACCCCTCTCACAAAAGCACACCTAATTTAACTAGTCTGACTCAATGCTGTCTGAGGCAAACAGAAATTCATTGCACAGAAGTTGACAAAGAAGACATAAAAGAAAATAAGCAAAACTCTTAAACGAATGACTCAGTTAATGATGTTTAATCCCTGGCATTGCAATCAAAAGCTCAAAACTTAGATAAAATGGGAGTACCATATCAAGCAAGTTAAGACAATTTCATTTCTTCCTCTTCTTATAATTATCAGTGATAATTACTGCCACTTGAATAACCCCTGAAAGTCCACTAAAGCCATACCCCATTGTACAGTTTTAATAAAGGCAAAAGAGGCAAAAGCATCACCGTTAAAAGCATCATGAGATCATTTTCCACAGGTACAAAGGTTTTTATGTAACACCAGCACCTGCTTGCTGCAAGGACATAGAAACAACTGCAGTATATTTCAGTGACTATATTAATATCTGTCTTTTTACAGCCTCCCAAAGGACATCTATATTATCCGCCCTATCACTTTAACTCTTATTACTCCAGCCGTAGCATCTCTTCCATGACAGTTGATGCCTTTTAGGTAAAATAACTCAGTTAGCATCATACATTTTAGGAATATAAAGAGTAAGAGGAGATGTCAAAGTCAAGGGCAAAACAGGGAAGGTAAGATACTGTAGGACTCTGTAAATAGAGCAAGTACACAGAGGTGAGCATGCGTAGCCTACTAACAGCTAGACACACACACATGCAGTAAACCTGTCCTCTCTTGACTTTCTTTTTGACACACTCTTTCAGTGCAGTATCCCTGAGGATTAAGTCTATACTGGATAATTCTCCATCAAACAATCTACATCCAATCCAGTAAATACTGTGACCTACATGTAGTGAAGGTGTGGAGGATGGCATTTGGCATATTGAACATAATCGGGGTCTTTTAGTCCAACATCTAATATAGACATTCTTGGCTGGCTGCAGGGTTGCAGGCCTCCTTACACAACCATACACATACAAGTTAGCATTCACGTGAAATATTTTCACACTAACTTATAGGGCACTGGGTTGGCTGAGTGGTTAGACAAACTGTCCTTCAGCTGATACAACATAAGGTTGTGATTTTTTTGGCAACAAGCATCTGCACTGCTAATGGTTTCCATGACTTCTTTTGCTCACAAGAAATTGCCCAAAAAAATATGAATGAACCTCACATCAGTAACCAATCTTTTCCCCTTTTTATTGTGTGCACAGCAACACAAATGTACAGGCTCAAATGGGGCTCTTTCTACAGTATGCTACACAAGCACATACAGGCAAACAAAAGGGCAGTGTTTAGAAGGTGCTGGTACTCGTATTCATGAACACACACATACAAAAGCACACGCACACATGCCGTATTGTTAAGGAAAGGTTGCTATACTCACAAATACCCCCCCGCAAACACGCACACAAAAGACAGTGAGACTGTTTGGCCATATTGTGAAGGGAAAGCCGTGTGATATGAGCCTGTGTGCTCCCACTATCTGGCTGTTCATGTGAAGACTCTCTCTTGTCTTGGGGAATCAGAAGTAGGCCGAGTCAGTGGATGTGCTCATTTCATACACCATCACTGTGGATCACAGCCAAGGACATTCTCTCTTCAAATTGCCATGTGAGGGAATTTCAGCCATAAAGAATTAATCAGATTTAAAGCAAAATGGATTTTAAAGAAGATACAGCACAGGTCAGCAAAGTTGTAATTTATGGCTAAAATACTGACCATTTCTAAAGACGTTGTCGCGCTAGTACTTCTGGGGTTCATACCCTAGATTTGGGCATATTAAAAAAGCAATTAATTGCCAGAAAATGAGCCTGAAGTATATTGTGGTATAAATGAAATATGAGTAAGCTATAATGAAATATACATAAAAATAGCTTGGCCTAGTTTTATTTCATGGTGCTACAGCTATGAAGTAGTTGAATGGTGCCTTTGGTCTGTCCTTCCTGCCACGCATGAATAAAACTTTTTATCCTTTCCACTCCTTGGTCAATATAGGTAAGTGACACGAGGTAATATCAGACACTTCAAGAAAATGTTTTGGGGTTTTTTGGTCTGAACAGTATAAAAGGGAAATTTGGGTATGGTTACATGCAAAATACAGTCCCAATTTTGCAAACGACGTGTGTAGGATGTGTGAGGAAACAAAGCCTCGAACACAACATACCATACTAAAAAACACATTTGGAACTGAAATCCTGCATCTTAGAATACCCAGATGGATGTGTTGTGTGCTGCGTATTGTGTATATTGTTCTACTGATCTTTCAAATCAAAAGAATACTCCACAAAAAACTATGTTAAAAATACAACAAAAATCAACCCCAGTATAGCTTGGGAGGTGGCACTGAAAGGTTTTGAGCTTGCTCCCGCACAGAGGACAACCGCAGCAGCCAACCTGGATTTACAATGGATTTCCACAGTGACACTGTATCACAGAGGGGAAATAAATATCAAAAGCAGTCCAGAGAAGCTTTTAAAAAAGCATCTGCAGCATAAGCCACTACTTCTTTTCTGTCAATTCATAAACGTATTTTCCAGCCATTTATTCATATTTTCATCCAAATGTGCCAGAAAATGGCAAAATAAACAGCTTTTAGATAGCTGTTTACATCTGACATTCAACCAGAGGACAAGCCAAGCACTATAGCCCATCCAATGCATAGCTTTATTGTCGATTGAAAATTGAATGGATGGTGAGCTAATAGTGCTTGTTTATTGCTGTTCTGTTTTTAAAATGGGTGACATTTTCAGAACAGTAGAATGGCAGATTCAAAATAAACCAAAAGCAGAGAATTAAGGCAACCATTGTACATCCATTTTCACCTTTCACGTTAAAAGGCAAGACATGAAAACCTTAATTTGAGCTGAAAAATAATTTACACTTTTGAGTCACCCCTTTTATTCAGACAAACGTTTTAAATTACATGTAATATTTTTACCTGTATTCTAGTTTGTGTTCTATTCGTCAGATATAGTGCAGTGTGTTCCACGCAAACATTACCTTTTTGCAGAGATGCCTCATTTCATCAAAATCACTTCTGGTAACATGGCTTGGCCTTGCAGCACCTGCAAAAACAGACCATGCATGGGGAGACTGGTGTTTGAGATACATTTAAAGGTTGACTGGCTGCATCCAAACATGCACTGAATCAGACGTCTATCAATAAAAAAATAATGATATCACAAATTTAAAAGTAGGCTGAGTTTGATCTTCGTTCCACAGCTTTTAAGCTTGAGCAAGCCAAACAGAAAAGTAAATATTATAGTGACTTTTAAGTTTCTCTCCACAACACTATTTTCAATCGCCAGATGGCATGTCATATTGGTAAGTAGAAAGCATCTCAACCTTGCTTTTGAGGAAAGCTGTTTGTCTGCTCTGCAGTCATTCTGGTCGACAACAACAGGAAACATGAGGCTGCTGCTGCTGTCTGGAGGGCTGGCCTCACGGTAACGACTGGAGTCAGGTAACCACCGGACAGACAGACTATTCCTCCTCACGGACGGCGTTAGACACAAGGGGAGGCGGCGAAAGCGGCTTTCCGGGTTTCACTTCGTTTTTCATCAATGCCGCGACTTTCTCTCTGAAACAAACTTTACAGACCTTTAAAAGTTTTTCAAACGTAACAGCGTGTCGTCGGCTGTTCATGTGACGCGTCGCGTTCGGGAGCCAGCTCGGCGCAGAGGCTACTCAGGTGTTCACGGGGAAGTTTGTGTCCTATTTTATTCTTGCCACATAATTAATCGAGCTCGGAGGAGGATTTGTCTCTCTTTTTTTGTTTTGCCGCGTGTGCGTCTCTGTTTGGTTTCGTTTTCCTTCTTCAGTTTTTTGGACTCAAAAGTATCAGGTGACCGAGTTTGAACAGGTAACATTAAGTTTGTTTTGGCTTATTTTCTGCATGAATTTTAACACAATTTCGGTGTACGTGCTCCGTTGACACCTTTTGAAAATGGGCCAATAGGTGGAAGTGAGCCCAGCCCCAGCAGCTGTTGACTTGTCTGACCTCTAATCATTGCAAACCAAAGTCATGGATTGATTAAAAATTCTTTAAAATATAATTTGGCTGTTCAAACGTCACTATTGCTTTCTGAAACTCTTTGGCTTCATAAATCCCTACCAAATCTATAGATTTGGAAAAAGAGTGAGTTTGCAGTAACCACCTTATCAGAATTATATTTCTTTCAGCATGAAGTCTATGAGTAGGGTTTGTTCTCAGTACCAAGGTTTATGAGTAGCCAAAAGCTCAAGTCTGCAGGGAATTTACAGTTTTAGGATGCAGTGATGAAGATAGTGGGGCTATTATTTGACACTTTCCTTGCTGCTGTTGCAGATGCATCTTACCACTAACTGCGCGCGCACACACACACACACACACACACACACACACACACACACACACACACACAGACACAGCCTACACTCATACAACACAAGATCTCAAGTTTTGTAAGGGAAAAAAAAAGATTAACCACACATTCATTTGTTGTCTAACTCTCATATGTATGACTCACCAGCTTTACGGCAAAACACACTGCTGTTTCATCACTTTTAACCACACATGCTGGATCTGTGCTATAGTTTCATTTAAAAAAGCCAATATCTGTCCTGCAACGAACCAAACAAAAGCTGCTTGACGTGCAGCTGAGCATACTGATTTACAAGTAGAGATCCCAGTAGGAGCTCCTGACATGGCTATTCTTCTGTCAAGCTTAGAAACTGAGGGCCTTGAGGCCTTATCCAGGGGGTGTTACTCATCTCTGGCTTAATTTGAATTTCAGCAAAGAGTTACTTTCTTTTTGCTTTGTTAAAAAGCATCCTTACGCTTGAGGTTTCAAAGAGAATTTGCACATAGGAGACACAAAAATATAAATGTCACAGCAGCCAAAGAAGCGAGCTAATTACAGATCCGCACTGCTCTTTATGACACAATAAACGGGACATTCACCATCCTCGGAAAATTATGAAATAAATTTCAGCTGGTGTCACCCTCAGACAAACCCTCCTGTTCTGAAAACACTCAATTTACAGATATATAAAACTTTTTTTAAGAAACAGCCATGATGGGGATCTAGTAGATGCTGTAAATTATATTCGTTATATGCTCTTGTCAGCTTTGTAGCAACGTTGCACAGGGTTTTGATACATCAGCTTGATGTTCCTATGCCATTGAATGGTTCTGTCACTCTGCTGTAGTTGAATGACATTCAAATCAGTACATGGGCTGCAGATTATTATTGGTGTTAGCAGATACATGACAAGAAATTGAAGTAGAGAAATACCAAACATATGTTTTGAAAGCTTCACCATTATATAGTTTCTCCACCAGAGAGTAGTGACAAGTAAAATTTCCTGCTGAGCTCGCAAAGGTCATATCTCTCCAGTGCAGCAATCAGATATGATATTCCATTTGTCACTAAAACCTGTGTATCTTTGTGCATGACTGATCTGCTGGCCCGTTTGCTTCTTTCAGCTGAAAGTTTTTTTTTCTTTGGTTCAAACAAAATATAGCATAGAGCCCTGGTCGCTGTGCTAGTCACTTGCAAAGCAGTTTGGTTTTGATATGAATCTGCGAAAATCCACCCCAATGCACAAAGAGGAAGAGAGAGGAGGGGTAGAGTGGGCGAGATAGCTGTTAAAGGTACAATGTGTAATTCCTGGCCACATGCTCCAAACAAATAGGAGGCAGCATTTCGCATCCTCCTCCCCCTCAGCCAGGCTACTTTCTACGCAATTCTGCTCATCTGCGCTTTTCTAATCACGTTTAACGTTAGAGCTGATCTGTATAATAACCTCATAAATTAAGCTTTTCATGTCTTTCTGGATTAGTGGGGTGTTGCTTCTTGTGCAACAATGAAGTTAAAAGGACTATCACCTTGTGTTATGATCTTCCGGGAGGGACTTCTCTCTGTCACTCTGTTTGGGAAGATCAAGTGATAGCAAGAGACAAAAAAGTTGACGTAGCGTAGGAACGAGAAGTCAGTCGAGCCAGTTCTATGTCTTTGTCCTCTCATGTTGAACAGAGGGCAGACTGGACGCTACAGTGACTCACTATCGCCTCTCAAGGCACAAGTGGTATTACAACACAGGACGGGCTGGGGCTAGCTGATTAGCACGCTAAACTCAGGAGATACTTTTGCCAAATCTTACACATTGTACATTTAAACACCAGATAAAAGCAAAAGTTTATCTTTTCAAATCATGTTGAAGAGAGCAGGAGAGAGTCAGACTCTTTACAACAGGGAGGGAGATTCAAAACAAGAGAGATAAAGGAAAGGAGACAGAAGAGTAGATGGGAGTGATGACTCCTTTTCTTGCCAAGGGGGGTAATGGATGAGTTTTCAGCAGAAGGGAAATTCCTCACTGCCACCTTGCCCGTCGGCATATCTCTCTGTCTGTCTGTCCATCCTCAGTTTAAGTGGTGCCGGATTTTCAAACCTCTTCCCCCCTTACCTGGTGTAGCATTGTTATCAGAGGCAAATTCCACTGTGACTGTTAGTTTCCATATTTCAACAAAGCAGTTTACATGGGTTGTGAAGCATACCGTGATTAATGATGCCCCGTAAACATTCCGTCACAATGTCAGAGTTTCACAGTTCTACCTTACGCTTTAATCTCTTTATGTCGTGTTGCCACTGCTCTGACTGACTGTGTGCAGATTGCACTAACATGCTTCAGGCTGTTATTATTATGGCTATACAGAAGATTAGACTCAGCAGAGCATGCACAAAGATAGGTCACGTGGAAACAACAAATCACTAAAACACTGGCCACACAGATTTTGTTTTCTGTTAGTAGAGAGATCTCATCATTCAAATGAAAAAAACGTCACCCAGTATGTAACATGCTTTATGTTAATGCATGTGGTACTCCATTATGCTTATTACAACTAACACTTTGTTCTCATTAGGGTTTTTCGAACTTCCTTTTATACTGCAGTTTCTATCTTAAAGGGCTATTCCACCAATTTATATAAAACTGGGCGACATATGAAGAGAGAGCTAGATTAATTATTGAAAACTCAAAATGCACCAGAGATACCGAAATATAACTGAAATATGCTGACTTTAATGTTGCAATCCAGGTAACTTGGAACTCGAAAATTTCCGACCTCCAACTAGAAAAAGTACTATGGAACGCTACCTGAAGTATGGTTCAAGCTTCAAAAATTCAAAACTTCCCATTTCAACAATGCAACTTGATAGCCCCTTAAATTAGATCCTCAAGGCTGCAACCTGTAGCACCTCAACCCACGCCCCCTCGCGGTAGAGTCTGTTATGATTGGCTGTGGGGTACTGTCCGTACCCGTCCCTTCTGCCCGATCTGTTCTGCACATGTGTGTACATATAACAATACAGTGAGTCGTCATAGCATTAGCATAAATACTGAAATACAAAATTAACGTCTCAGTTGCTTAATTGTGTTTTTTTTGCCATTAATACTAAATGAATGTCAGGCTGTCACCTTCTATTGATTGATGATTTAAAACATGTTTTCAATTAAAAATCTGTAGTCTCTTTGACCAAGCCAATATTACCCTGATGATATCACTTTGACATCACTAGGATTATTTTCCTCAGACATCAAAAAGATCTCTCCAATGATAGAATGATCATTAGAGTGGAGTGCCTTTGTAAGCAGGTTAATCGCAGAGTACTGAAGTGTGTTTAGCGTAATGTGGGTTAATTTTCAATACTGAGAAATCAATTGAAATTGAGGCTTGTGCTTAATTGCTTCCTTTCCTATAGCATGTTTCTGCATTACCTCACCTCTGTCATTTCAGTCCTATCGTACCTAAGATACCAGCCACAGCCCAACATTCAAGTATGAACTATAGTCTGACTTTCACAGACTCGTCCTTTTGTCTGTCCTCTTTTCCTTGTGTATCTGTGTCCTGTTTAGACAGAGAAGGCGGTTTTCAGACTGCACTTTTTAAGTGATTCTGCTTTTGTGCTTGTGCGTGGTATTCCTTTCATTTGCAATAATCTGTTGACTTGAAGCCTCTCAGAAATTCTGTCTGACAGTTGGTGAGAGGAGGAGGATAAAAAAACATTTATCATCTTTAGTTTAC